AAAAGAGCTCTATAAACGGAAGCAACCATGACTACCAGACTCACTACCGGATCTGACTTTCCTCTAACCCAAACTTCATTAAAAGTAATAGAAAAAAAAAGTAATAATTACAACACGACTATCAACCTGTTTTGCTAAACTATTGGGATGTCTCCCAGGTCTCACCCTTTGAAGCTTCTCAAAACAAAGCCGGAGACTCCTCTACCATCCCACCAAGGCTGTGTGGGTGGACTGTGATGTCTTCACTCCATCCCCTTAGCAGCTGGTCTCCTGATGTAAGCCCCACCCCCGTAAAACTCACAGAACCGGGAATTTAAGACATGGCACAGGCTGACCTTAGACTCGAGATCCTCCTGCCTCAGCCTCCTAGAAGTCTTGGCTTTACAGCTGCACTGGGCAATTTCTGGTAGTTTCTCACTATGCGCTCATATCCATGAAGCTAGTTATCTTCCCTGTCTCCTTGGCCATGTTGGTATCACTCTACTAATTCAATATGCCCCACTTTTACCACCCAGCGCTGACTCTGTCCCTGCGAATCCCCAGACAGGGAGGTAAAAGGCTGTTCCCTCTGTGGCTCTGGGGGGGGGGGGCAGCTGCAGTGACACTCCAGTTCTGCTCTCTGAGGTGATACCTACTCAGCCCTTGGTGGCTTTGTTTGCAAATTAGGGTTAATGGCTCCTTCTGCCACAGGACCACCAGGAGCAAATGTGAGTTGAGTACTTGTCCAGAATCCTCTCTGCAATGGGTGTAAAGAAAACATCTTTAACGCAGTTTGGACTACTAAGTCCTTGTCATTACAAAGTATCGGAATCCTTTCTCAGAGTCACAATTTCATCTGAGACACTCAACAGCCCCATCAAGAAAGCAAACAGGGCATATATTGAAAGGAAAAGAACACCAAATCCTAGAAAATTTCAAATTTAACTGATATTTTTAAGTCTGTTCTGCAGATCAACTGTCAGTCCAGCTCAATCACATTCTACTGTCTCATGACATCTTGGGGTGTCTGCACCCCAATTGTAGATGAGGGCAAGTGGCTCCGAGAAGGGCAGAATCTTATGCAAGGTTATTTGGTTGCTTGGCATCAACAATGGGATCTGAATCCAGCACCCTGACTCCCAAAGCAAGGTTCTTCTCATGACCCTCATTTTCCAGAGCGTCAAGTCACATGTGAGAGAGTGGTTTAGATAAGAAGGGGGATAATTCTACTTCCGGTCAACTCTGTGAGGGCACTGTTCCCCATGGAACTTCCCTATCTGCCAAATGAGCCTGCAAAACACTGGTTCCCATGGAGATGGGCAACCAATCAACACGCTTGGCCCTTGGGGGTCTGGACCAAACTCCAACAAGGATGTAAAAGAGCCATGTAAGCTGGAGAGAGCTTGGTGACTGAAAACTGTAGTTTCTATTACTCATTAATTCATCGGAAGATCAAGTATGATTTCTGCTTCATAAGACAGAGTCCACAACCTAAATCCGTTTGATTGTCTAGTATTACTCACCTTGTTGCCATGGCAACAGCAACTTAAGGAAAGGAGGCATTGTCGTGTCTCATAGTCTGAGGGGCTAAGGTCCACTGTGCCTGGGAAAGTGTGGTGGCAGGTGAGGTGGACACATTGTATCCTGACTTGGGAAGCAGAGGGGTCTTAATGTAGAGGTCAGAAAACTCCATCCCTTGGAACAATGATGCCCAAGTTCAAGGTGGGTCTTCCCCTCCTCAGCTAACCCTCTCTGGAAACACCCTCACAGACATGACTAGAGATGTGTTTCCCAGATAATTCTAAATCCAGCCAAGTTGGCAATGAAGGCTGAGCATCAAAAATGTAGAACAAGGGTCACCCGACCCTGGGTTTGAAACCGACCCCTATGCAGTTTCACCTGCAGATGATTGCCTAGGTTCTCTTCCTGAAGAAGCGCAACCTGTGGTCAGTTTTCCTGCTGTGTTTTTTAGCTGTGAGGAGGCCCTGTATGTTCACACGAGAATACTAACGATGGAAACTTACACTGACATTCCATCTCAGCCACTTAGAACGAAGTGACTTTGAGCAAATTCTTTTCTCATCTATAAAACAGAGGATTGGGCTCTCCTATTCATGTTGCAGGCAATTGAAAAAAGGAATATTCCTTTGTCTATAAAAAAATAACTTCTTTAGTTCTAATGAGGACACTTGATAACCATTTCTGGATGTACTCACTCTGTGGTCTTTAGCATTCCCAATGATGAAAGTGCTTACGGAGACTCCAGAATCCCAAGGTCCATAGACCCCAGGAGAGCGCAGCTAGAGTCTAGTGCCGGACAAGGTCATAGGAGGAGAGCGATTAGCCTTGCACATGGCTTTGAATGCAAACCTCTTGCAACAGACAAGGTGATTCCCATGAATGCAGCGACCTCACAATAACTTTGGGGGAGAACCTTTGGGGAAGAACCTTCACAGGTGAACTTTCTGGGGAGAACCTTAGCGGGCAAACTTTCTGAGAAGAGCCTTCACAGGAGAACCTTCAGAGGTGTGAGACTGAGGAACAACATGGAATCCAACCTTCTTGAAGTTCTAAAGCCTGTCAGTTTTTATTCTAAACCCTTCTTACCCCCTGTTGGCTTGTTCATCCTGGCTATGAGCTTGTCTATTGGGTAAAGAGCAATGCGATTTAAAGGGGCCGTGGAGCTTCAAGCACTTGTAGGGTTTTAAATTAACCACCCAATACTCTTACTTTTTACTTTGCAGCCTGAAAATAGAAAGTATAGATAGTTTCTCTTATTGGCATTGTTTGACTGAAGTCAGATTGACAGTTTTCTGAAATCAACTATGGTGTGTATGTGTGTGTGTGTTGTATTAATATATGATATACCTTCTTGCATGTATGTGTGTTTGCATGTGTGTGGAGGCCGAAAGTAGACGTCAGACACCTTCCTTCCTCACACTCCACCTTCTACACTGAGACAGGCTCCTCACTGAACCAGAAGCTCCCTAGTTTTCCAGTCTAGCAGAACTGCTTGCTCTGGGGATCTGCCTCCTATGCACTGGGATTACAGGAGGGCCGCCATACCTGCCTTCAGCTTTTATATGGGCTCTGCCAGTTCAGACTCCCATTCTCATGCCTAAGCCACAACGCTTTTCCCTCTGAGCCATTTCCAAAGCTACTGTCTGCTTCCTGTGTGTAATAATCACCCAGTGCTGACCTACAGCAAAACTGCCCATGCCCCTCATGGAGAACCTTTGACACTGTTGATTTCAACTTCTTCCGTGCCATAGCACTCCACCTCACAGAGTCAGAGAGACAGAGCTTAAACTCGGAAATGCTGTCATTGTAAAGGTCTCACAGAAACAGCAAAAACAAAAAGACTGGGCCTGGGGAGGAGGCTCCGTGGTTAAAGCACTTACTGCCCAATTATCAGGAATGCATTGTGGATTCCCAGAACTCACATAGACGTCAGGTGGGAGATGGCCTACCTGTGATTCAGCCTCAGCCAGTGGAGACAGGACCTCTGCAGTGAGACTTAGCCATATCAGCTTTGAGAGGATAATTCCTGGCATCAACCTCGGGACTCCACATGCATGCACACCCACAGACAATTACACAAAATGCACACACAAACATGCATGCACACACAAGCACACAAACACAAATAGAAGGGGGAAATGAAATAAAAGTGTGTCGTTTCATTTGCCTTTAAAGCAGTAGAAGTGGAAAAGAAATTAGAATTGAGAACCAAAGAGGGAGTCGTTGTGTAACATAGTCGGGGCCTGCTTGTGCGGTTTCTGTCCTCCCACCATGTCAAACAGCTGTTTAGCCCCAAAGAAAATCACACAGAGATCTCCATAAGTTATAAAACTGATTGGCCTATTAGCTCAGGCTACATATTAGCTCTTGTAGCTTATATTAACCCATTATTCTTTTTTTATAGATTTTTTTATTGAAAAAAAATTTCCGCCTCCTCCCCGCCTCCCATTTCCCTCCCCATCTCCCTTTTCCCTCCCTCTCCTCCCTCTCCTCTCCCCCTCTCCCCCTCCCCCCACTCCTCTCCCTCTCCCTCTCCAGTCTGAAGAGCAGTCAGGGTTCCCTGCCCTGTGGGAAGTCCAAAGTCCTCCCCCCTCCATCCTGGTCTAGGAAGGTGAACATCCAAACTGGCTAGGCTCCCACAAAGCCAGAACATGAAGTAGGATCAAAACCCAGTGCCATTGTCCTTGGCTTCTCAGCAGCCCTCATTGTCCGCCATATTCAGAGAGTCCGGTTTTATCCCATGCTTTTTCAGTCACAGTCCAGCTGGCCTTGGTGAGCTCCCAATAGATCAGCCCCACTGTCTCTGTGGGTGGGTGCACCCCTTGTGGTCCTGACTTCTTTGCTCATGTTCTCCCTCCTTCTGCTCCTCATTGGGACACTGGGAGCTCAGTCGGGTGCTCCAGTGTGGGTCTCTGTCTCTATCTCTATCCATCACCAGATGAAGATTCTATGGTGATATGCAAGATATGCATCAGTATGGCTATAGGATAGGGTCATTTCAGGTTCCCTATCCTCAGCTGCCCCAGGAACTAACTGGGAGCCCCTCTAACCCATTATTCTTATCTATGCTAGCCACATGGTTTGGCACCTTTCTTAGCAAGGTAGTTTACATTGTGCTTCTTCGGAGTCTACGCAGGACTGGGAGGTATCAACTTCCTCCTTCCCAGAATTCTCTTGTTCTCATTGCATCATTTCTACTTCCTATCTGGTTTTCCTGCCTATACTTCCTGCCTGGCCAATCAGCATTTATTTAAAACATGATTGACAGAATACAGACAATTCTCCCGCACCAATATTGAGAAGAATTAGGAGCCGGTGGAGAAGTACCAACGCACCCTCCCTGGAGAAGCCCTCAAGGTCGTCATACACCTATACCCCATACTATGTGCACACATATGTGTGAGTGAGCAGAAGTACATGCTTTGGGTAGTTGATGGCTAATAAAAAGGGTTGACAGCCCTTCAGACGAAAAGAGAGGAGAGGAATGGCAGAGCCCTTACCGCTATAGAGATGAACAGAACTGTAGTCTTCCCAGTCCACCCATTCTGAATCTACCCAGGTGGGCGTGGCAGGCTTGGCATTCTGGATCCACCCAGATGGGCATGGCAGGCCTGGTGTTCTGGATCCACCTGGGTGGGTACAGCAGGGCTGGCATTCTGGATTCACCTGGGTGGGCATGGCGGGGCTGGCGTTCTGGATCCACCTGTTTGGGCTTTGCTGTTCTTTTTTTCTGGATCCACCCGGATGGGCATGGCAGGGCTGGCGTTCTGGATCCACCCGGATGGGCATGGCAGGGCTGGCGTTCTGGATCCACCCGGATGGGCATGGCAGGGCTGGCGTTCTGGATCCACCCGGATGGGCATGGCAGGGCTGGCGTTCTGGATCCACCCGGATGGGCATGGCAGGGCTGGCGTTCTGGATCCACCCGGATGGGCATGGCAGGGCTGGCGTTCTGGACCCACCCTCATGCCTTTTCATTCCCACAGTCTCTGATGGTGGTGCTGTTACGTGGGTACTGTATTCCCTCTCTCATCTTTTGTGGTTGCTTCATCTAATGTCCAGGGATTCTTTGGAGATGAATAGACGACTTATTTTCATTCTTTGTCTTCTGTTTTTGACACAGGGTCTCATACAGCTCCAGCTGACCTCAAACTCATTATGTACTGGACAATGGTACTGAATTTCTGACCCTCCTGTCTCTACCTCTCCAGTGCTACCTTTATAAGCATATATCATCATGCCTGGCTTATGCAGTGCCAGAGATTAAACCTGGTACTTTATACATGTTAGGCAAGGACTCCACCAACCAAGCTATAACCCCGACTCTGCATTTTTCTTGAGTAATAAAACAAATCAGTCTAAATCTTGTAGTATACCTCAGAGACCACCTAATGTGCCTGCTTCTTCTTTTAAAGGAGGAAGAGATTTTGTCCCAGAAAAGAAAAGTCATTCTCCCCGAGTCACACTGCTGGCAGAAGCAGGCATTGAACCCAGGTGTCTTGACACCAGGTCTTAGGCTCCTGTTACAACACCACAGTGCAGCCCCCCAGAATTGCAAACTTGATTTACGCCATCACTTGTAGGTTTTTACAGTCTCCAGCCTGGGCTTCCCAGCACCCCTCACCTCACACACGTTGACTTGAGCAACACCCGCCCGTGGGCCGCTCTCCCATCAAGCGGAGTCTCCCATTGTGAATCATCTTTTAAAAGAGTTTTACATCTGCTGCAGGGAAATTTACAAGCCCCAGGTTACCAGCCATAATTTCGGTCATTTGGGGGAAATAATGATGCTATAGTCGTCACTTTCCAAATGTTGCAGGAACCTGACCCCAATCAAGGAGCCTCTCAATAAATCAGCGCAGAAACGGCATCCATTTCTTGCCTCGCTGTTTAGAAGGTCGAAGTTCTGAATCAGTGTCTGGGCTGGAGAAAGCGTCCAACTCACAGTCTAGTCTAGATTTTCATAACAGCTGCCATTGTTCAAAGAGGGATTCATAACTCTCCATGGACTCCAGCCAACAGGCCTGAGCCAGACCCATATTTATGTATGTTTGCTTGTTCGGAGTGCTCCAGTGTTCTTTCCATGTGGGAGCTGTTCAGGTCTCCTCTCCTGGCCCTGCCTGTGGACATCACTTCACACCAAATGCTCCCGGATGACAGGCTCCTATACATCTTCTTTGGCCCCTAATTTATGTTCAGATGGCCAGGATCATTGTACAACAAGACAGAGGTTATTAAGAGCAAAGGCAATGGCCAACTTTTTGGGAGCGATTGTGCTGAGCCAAGAGCCACTCACTGATTCACGCGCTGCTAAAAACAACCCCGCGAGAAAGGGGTTCCTGCTATCCTCCACCTGAGGAAACTGAGGCACAGCGTGGATAGGTCATACACTAATACTCAGAAGAGCCGGGGTAAGAGGCCAAGAAGTCTGGCTCCTGTGGCCCCTTCTTTAAGAAAAGTGATTTATTGTCTATAATTTACATACCATATAACTCACCGTCTTGAAGTATAAAGTTCAGTGTGTGTTAGTATATTCCAGGCGGGCAACTGTCATCACTATTTAATTCCAGGATATTTTCATTACCCTCGGGGAGACCCTGGACACATTTGTGAGCATCCCTAACCTTGCTTCTGTGGCCCCTGGCCGTCACAAATCTGTCGTCTCTCTTTGTGGATTTTTCTTTCCTGGACATTTCATATGCAGTATGTAACCGTTTGCATCTGGAAAGTTTTTAAGGCTCATCTATGTGGTAGTATGTACCAATACTTGATTCTTTTTACAGTCAAGTAACACCTGTTATATGGAGACCCATGCTTTGTTTATCCGCCGATCAGCTGATGGACAGCCGGGTGTTTCCAGTCTTTTGCTCTGAATAAAAAAAAAATGCTGATGTATTGGATACTTTTCTCTTTTTTAAAGATGTGTGTGTGTGTGTGTGTGTGAGAGAGAGAGAGAGAGAGAGAGAGAGAGAGAGAGAGAGAGAGAGAGCGCAAGAGAGAATGTCACATTTGTGCAAATGGTCACAGAGGTCAAAAGAGGGCGTCAGAGCCCCTGGAACTGGAGATAGAGGCAGTTTAAACCACCCTATGGAGCTGCTGAGAACTGAACTCAGGTCCTTTGAAAATGCAGGAAGTGCTGTTAATCACCAAGACATCTCTCCAATCTTTGGCTATTTTTCTCATTGCTATGACAAAAACTACTTGGAAAAAGGCTTATTTAGGCTTCCAGTTTGAAGAGAGAGCTTCCTTCACGTTGGGGAACTCATGGCCACAGAAGCATGTGGCAGCTGCTCGCATCCATAGGATTGGGCAAGTGGGGCTGGATTCCAAACCTTCCAGGCCGCCTCTCCTTCAGCAATGCTTGACCTCAAGACTCCACAACCTTGTGAAACACAGTCACCAGCTGGAATTTGAGTGTTCAAAGACATGAGTCTGTGGGGGGTCATTTCACCTTCAAAAACAGCTGGTAGATCACAATATACCAAATTATTCTAACCATGAAGTGATTTTCATCTCCGTAATGACCAGTGATGGTGATGACTATGTATATACATCTCTCACCCTTAGAGAATACCTATTCAAATTATTTTCCTACTGATGTGCATATTTTTCTGGTTAATGTTGAGCTGCAAAGTTGTTTTAAATATATGTTCTGAACATAAGACTACATTAGTTAGTTTCCTCATTCCTCTGCCCAAAAACCTGAGAGAACAATTTAAAGGATTTATTCTGGCTCAGGTGTCAGAGGGTTTGGTCTTGAGTTGCTTAGTTCCACAGGCTGGAACATCATGGTAGCAGCAGCTTGGAACAGAGTAGGTTCTTCTCTTGTGGTGACCAGGACGAAGCAGAAGGGGACCAGGGCCAGACATAGCCTTCACAGCACAGCCCTACTAACTGGCCCTGCAGTGAGGCCTCACCTCCCAATGTCTCTCCTGCCCATAATAAAGCTCCACTGATTTGGGACAAAGCATTCAGCATATGAGATTTTATGACTTTTCACATTCAAGCCATAACAAAATCCCCCATCGGTTGTGGAATGTCCTTCTGTATATGTGTTGCTTTCATTGGTTGACGAATAAAGCTCTTTCAGCCAATGACCTAGGAAAGTAAAGCCAGGTAGGAAATATGAACAGAGATACAGAGAGAGTAGGTTGATGGAGGAGGGTCATATGTCTATTGGTTAATAAAGAAACTGCCTTGACTTTTAATAGGACAGAAAATTAGGTAGGCGGAATAGACAGAACAGAATGCTGGGAGGAAGAAGGCAGTGAGCCAGACGCCATGCCTCTCCTCTCCAGGCAGTCACCATGGCTCTCCTCTCCGAGATGGACACAGGTTAGGATCTTTCTGGTAAGCTACCACCTCGTGGTGCTACATACATTAATAGAAATGGGTTAATCAAGATGTGAGAATTAGCCAGGAAGAGGCTAGAGCTAATGGGCCAAGCCGTGTTTAAAAGCATACAGCTTCAGTGTAATTATTCCGGGGTAAAGCTAGCTGGGTGGTGGGACGCAGCTCACCACTCCGCACTACAGTAGGTGGAATCAAGTGGACACCAGCCAGCTGCCGAGGAAACAAGACATGTAGAAAATGAAGTAAAGCCACGGCCGCGTGGCAATAAATAAACTAACAGAAATGGGTTGATTTAAGATGTAAGAGGTAGCTAAAAATATGCTTGAGCCATCGGCCAAACAGTGTTGTAACTAATATAGTTTCTGTGTGATTATTGGGGTCTGGGTGTCTGGGAAACAATAGTTCAGTCTCTGTTTACACTTGATTGTATCTCCTGAAGCACAAATGTATCCATCTCCCAAAGTCTAGTTTCTGTCCTTTGTGTCTTGCTTGCATATGTACTTGGTGCCATGCCTGAGAAGGCTTTGCCTAGCCCAAAGTCATGAAGAAATGCCCTAGTTTTTCTCTAAGACCTTAAGATTTTAGATTTCATGTTTGGGTCTTCATTCCATTTTGAGTGAGGATTCCATTCAATTTGAGTTAAAAGTCCAGCTTTATTCTGTGCGCGTAGGCTTCCAGATGACACAGCACTGTTTATCGAGAGGCTTCCATGCTGATGCTCTTAAGGTGTGTGTGTGTGTGTGTGTGTATGTGCGCGCACATGTGTGTGTGTGTATGTGTGTGTATGTGTGCACGCATGCGTGCATGCGTGTGTGTGTGTGTGTGTATGTGTAATTTCTGGCCTCTCCTTAAACCCCTCAGATGTCTAAAAGCCTAGCCAATAATAAGACAAAGGGAAGATTTTTTCATCTGCCCCTGAAAGCCAAAATCCATTCCTGAGGAGATAAGGAGTCTGATTCATGTTTTAAAATCAGGACTGTCACAGGAAGACATTAACACAGGGAGAAAATGCTGCTGGCCTCAGAGATGGGATCTAGCGCTCTCTGCCGAGACACATTTGAGAAGGTATAGTGTTAGATGTTAAGTCGGTGATGAGACTGGAGTTTCGGCGCTGTGCTCATTTCTTGGTCCTCCCTCTGAGATCTTAGGGCTGTTCTTTTCTTTGTCATGGTTGTTAGCACAAGAAATTCCTACCCATGGAGCTAGACCTTGCCCATTAGGGATTCACAGTCTCCAACTTCGGGGCACAGACTGGGGGAGGGGAGGCTATGACCCTGTCCCTTCAGGGAACATGTCTTCAGCCTCAGAGGGTCTGGGATAGGATCCAGTTAGTGACTTAGCTTTGCTTCCCCAAGGCAGCGACTCACACAGGGAACTTACACAGCCATGGTTTTCAGAAATGACTCTTTTGGAGTAGGAACAAGACAGCCTGAGGAAAACGGAACACTGGAAGGAAATTGCTTACCACGGTCAGGCCCCAATTATTCTTCCTTTCCTTTCCTTTCTTCTGTTTTCATCAAGAGTTACTTCCTCATGTCACCCCTAGAAAAAACAGGGCAAATAGCACTTATTGTTACAACAAGCTATCCCCAAAATGTTCCAAAGCAGTGAGCAGTCTTCCACGTGGTCATCCTACATCCCAGGTCCTATCATCTCGTGTCTCTGCAATATTGTCTAGATTCAGCTTCTCTGCTTGATCCTTTGCACACATCCAGGGTGCAAGAAGAGGGGCCAGAGCTGAGTGATGTCATATTCCAACAGGCGAAACTGAGTCAGATGGACATAACTGGCTTGAAAGAAGCTAACTAAGTGACAAGGTCTCCTGTGCCCAGAAGATTAAATAAAAAATGAACTCACAGCAGTTTCTATGACAACTGTGAAGGTATAGATTACATCACCACGACGACACAATTATTATGATTCTTCCAAGCTGCCCTAGTGACTTCACTAGCACTCAGTCTCCCTAGTTA